CTTACCTGAGAATTAAAAGTTATAACTTTGCCATGATCAGTGGAACGCATTCTGTTCTTTTGCTGGTCAAGAAAATCGATATTTTGCAACCCTTCGACGTGGATTTCACTGAACACAAGCAGAAAGAAACGAATTGTTTGAAACAATCTCAAAAAGGTTTGAGGAAAAGTCGTAGAAAGATGAGATATTGGCCTTAGTGAAAACACACAAAATATGGGAGATGAAGACTTCTTCGAGTTTCATGCCTAGTTGGCTTGACGAGAAAATGTGAAGAAGTTACCTGATATCGGAAACTGCGAAGTAGGGGTGAAGAGCAAATGTAAAGTTAAATGGCTTTCCATCAGAATTCTTAACACGAGATGTCAACGTCAAATCTCCTTCAAGTCCCAATTCTACTCTCAGCCGATACTCAAACCTAAAATAGATAAAGAGGTCACACTAGGCTACACATAAATCATTCTAGCCAGATATCGTAAAAATATTGTAGGAATGTGAAAGAGAGTAGGGTTTCAAGAATCTAACTTATGAGACCAGATCTTCATATCATCGTTTGATGATCTTAGAATCAGGTCAACTTTAGAAGAACAATTTGATGGCAAAGGAGGTGGATTAGCCTCAATTTCCCAGAACCTATTTCTCGCAAATCCATGTGAGGGAAGTGGACCAGTGTTACTGTACTGCACATACAGAAACAAAAGCATTTTATTAACAAACATTATAACATATTCAACCACAAAGAAAACAAAGAACATGCATCAAGAAGCACATACTTGCGGAAACAATATTGGAATTCCTCCACGAATCGGTGCTGGAGGCTCGAATATAGCCTGCACAATACATAACACATGATTTCAGATCTCTCTCCTTTGGACCTCATACACGCACATCAATTGGGAAGTACCACTTTCAGAACAAGTAGATAATTATTAAACTACTTATCTGTTCTTTTACATGCCTCTAATGAAGTAAAAATTCATTAGCCATGTGTTCACTTCTTTCCCTTTAAATTATAAACAAATCTCAAGAATATAACCAAATATTTTCCCCAATTGATTCATCTTTGCATAACTTACTTTGCCAATTATTGAAGACACACACAATCAACAAGAAAACAACATCAA